CACTTCTACCATGGGTAATCCAGAGGATCGCATCGACAAAATAGTTACAACTGATTTTGATCGCGCTTTACTGGCTAGCTTGCAGCTGGTTCAGCGTGTTGGTAGACCTCGCAAGAGGAGACTATTATCCACTTCCCTTGCGAAGAGATCTTTTCCTTCAGCCTCACTCCAGCCTACAATATCCATCGCTGGACACCCTACATCTATGTGTCTTGCTCATTTACAGAAGCCCTTAGTTGCTAAAGGGTAATCAAGGCGGAAGCGAGGACTATCACAGAGGCTCATCATACTCCCACAAAAGCGTTGTGTGATAATAAATGGAAAGCCTTCGAGGGATATTGTCGCTGTAGATCGATCGATAAACCAACCACCGCCTACCTTTGCTCCACTCGGAAGTCAAGGGGCTCTCCTTTATCCACATATCTAGCAGCTCTTAATTAGGCTGTGGGCGTAAAGATTGCTGTAGTCCCAAAACTCCAAGCGCTTTTCCGCTCTTATAAACTCACCGACCAGTCGTCCAGATTACGTCCACCCACATGGGATTTGAACGTAATATTATGACACCTGATGTCAGATGAATATGAACACTTGGTGTAAAAAAAGACAGATCACACTCAAGACAGTCTTTCTTCTAGCCCTGGCTACTGCTGCAAGAGTCAGCGGGATACATGCAATGGATGTTAACAGGGTTCAATTCGAGAGGCACAACCACGGAGAGGTTCATATGGGACTCATCGCCAAGAACCAACTTCCTGGTCAACCCGACAGGCAATTCACCATCCTGGCTTTGGCTTTGATTCCAAATCCCAAGGATCGCGAGGACATATCACTATGTCCAGTTCAAGATCTAGGCATATACTTGCAAGCCTCATTGTCCCTGCGACAATTGCGGAAGAGATTTTTATCCCCCTCAGATGGTTACCTCAGAGGTTTCCCGTACAGCGTTCTCCTTTTGGTTATGATCTTTAATACTCGGTGCTTACAACTTTGCAGGATTGCCTCCACCCCAGACATTGAATCCTCCCGAGACGAGAGCTGTTGCATCTACCATGGCTCTACATAGTAACTGTCTTAGTTCCGCTATTCCTGACTCAACAATTAATGACAAACTGTCAACGCAGATATATTGCAGTCGCCCAAATCGTATCATGTGCAGCATGAATAAATAATTGTGAGCCACTCCCTTTTGTTTATGTTTATTATTCAGGTTCCCAGAATGAGGCTTCAATAGAGAAGCACGAAAAACTCATCTGTAGAGACCGTAAAAAAGAGTCTATCATCACGAAGTTGCCGCAAGTCTCGGCTGTTTCGACGGTGTCCCAATTCCATTATCAGCCCACAGCTGCCTTGAGCATGTGTTGAGCACCAGCTTCCTCATGTACATCTCACGGCTACAGACGAATACAGACTTGGGTAATCTGCGTCCCATCATCCAACTGTGGGATAAATGCATAGAGTGAGGTGGATAAGTTTAAGAATTTGTAAATTTTACAATAAATTGTATATTTCTAATACTTATCCTATCTCACACGATCTGTGCCCACCCATCGGACCCGCATCACAGTTACACTAGCCTGTCAGCTCCAAGAAAAAGAATGATGAGGCAGTCAATGGACAAGATCGAGGACAGCATGCTGCACATGATGCAGGTGCATGAGGGTGCATGACCTAGATACTGGGGTGGTCGTCATGCTGATGCATGGGTGACTTAGCAAATGAAGCATAGAAGCTGGAAACTTTGTTCAAGAACATTTCCACACAAGGGATCGAAAGAAGAAGGAGAGTGCATAGAGTGAGATAGGATAAGTATTTCCAATATACAATTTATTGTAAAATTGTATATTTTAAGACTTCAAAATATGATAAAAGCCAGTGACACAAGACATAACTTTTTAGCTCATCATCCAGCGCTTGATGGCAGCTTCTGCTATGTCACCAGCTTCAGCCCTGAATATGTATACTGGATGGTCTGTCATTACCACATGCCATGCTGCTACAGGCTAGTGTCAATTGTGGCTTGATGAAAGTCCCAAGTAAATCAGATGCTGACAAGCAAGGTCACAGGATCAATGTTTAGACCACGTTGTTGTGACATGGAAGCTTATCAACATGATCAAGACGTAATAAGTGCATGTGACAGTTATTGATTATTCTACATCAGTGCTATAGTGAGGCTAAAAAGAGCATGCAGTGTTCCCGCTGGCTTTTGAAACTCTCCACAAATATATATTTAACCTTGGAGCAAAGTGAATTGTTATTTCCTTGCACTAAATATATACAAGGTATTCAAGGTACCCTGATGGTAACAGACAACTTTAATATTGACGATGTTTGTTCAACAGCAAAGATTTATTTATTTGCCGGTCAACAGGGACTGGCAGTCACATGAATTATCTGTCCAAGTATCAACGCGTGTCGGTCCGACGTTGAATAATGAACAATTTGCATACTCGTATATGCAAGAGGCCGACTTATGGTTCTCAGTAGGAAGTGACAACTTGGAGACAATGGCTTGCAGTATATACAGTTTTTCTTTATACATGTAGATAGATACATACAAATGACACTATGTGCCAAGTCAGCACATAGTGGTAGTGCTTGTTGTCTTGGTGCCCCTGAGCACCCAGCCTAACCCTAGCTAGGCTAAGGGTAAGACCTTTTTTTCTCCTTTCTGGACCAAGGCTTATATAGCCAAGGTCACCTGACATTTAGTAAGTAATAAATATAAATGTACACAAAAATGGGGATTAACAAATAGGATTAGCATCTAATAAATAAAAGCAATCAAGTGTTTCAAGGCATATAGATGTCATGGCTCCAGGGTAATGAGCCTTTGCAATCAAATGTTCTTCAGACAATGGATGTCGTAAATCAGTCGCTATGACACAAGTCTAATTCTAGAATCTGGTAGTTCGGTAAACAGGAACACTGCTGTTGGCAGATTATTTGGATAATAGAAATAATTGAACAACTCATACTGGCTCTGGGAAACAGAATATAATGCAAAGCCAGATTTCATCACACATGGAAAATAGTCTCATCAGTTCTGTTGTCAGCGACTACCAAGATGACCAAATTAACCCACCTTCAACCATGTCAACATGTTAAACATGTTTGATACAGCTGAACATTGACATATTAAGCAGGGATGCAAATTCATGTTTGCACAAGTAAATGTCAGTTTTTCTAATATTAAAGGTAGCCCAAGGGCTAGTAGAATGTCAGGCTTTTAAAGGGTGTCTGAATTTCAGGCTTTTAAGGGGTGTTATTTCATACTTCACTATATGTGTGACTATTGCTTGTAAAGTTATTCAACTTTCTAGTTTCCCCTATCCTGAAATCTGGTACCTTGGATTCGATTCAGGTGTACCTGGTTGCTTTCAATTTTCTTTTCATCTGTCGATATATGACTTTATAAAAATCATACTGAGATATTGCAACCCCAGGTGGTACCAATATCTGGCCTGGTTCATGGACTATATATGTTATCATTGTTTGGGATAATAATGTTTCAGTTGAAGTTTCATCCCTGTTACCATGGTAACACCACAATGGCACAAAAGTTTGTGTTTTTAGTGATTTGTTGTATTTGTTCCTTTTGAATGGACCTAACATGAGGAATATGCTTAAAGGTGCAAAATCTGAATTGTTTTGTTTTCAGTTGTGTTTTATCTGTGTCCTAAGTTTCTCTGCATAAGTCATTGTTTATTGATGTCGCAGAGGCTGTCACCATTGAGCTGGAGTGGGAAAACTTCATCATGCAATCTTACAGCTGACAAAAGTCCATGTGACATTGCCATCTTTCCTTGGTGTATAAATATTCATACTATATCCAGCTGTTGTGGGTTTCCTGGAGACTGATTCAAGTCTAATGACTATTTAAGGAGTGATGCCTATTAAGTCTTTGTGTCAGGTTCGTGTAGAGGCAGGTCCCTTGGGTGTAATCTTAGTAATACACAGGGCGTTTTATCCTACATTTGGAGAATGTGATGCAGGTGCCTGTGTCACAAGATTAACTGCCTGTCAATACCTGATTCAAGCAATGTCAATACCTGATTCAAACACCTATCAACATGATCAATAACTGAAAAAGTGGTTCACATATGTCAATACCTGATTTAAGCATGGTCAATACCTGAATAACGGATCACACATGGAGTGGAAACAGCTATATTTTATTGGCACTGTACACATGGTATGCCATATGTCTTTTTCCTCTGTGTGTCAGTGAGACTGCTTATGATTTGCAGCAAAGAAGCTATTAGACCAAAATGTCTCATGTTGATCTTTACTTTTACATGAAGCCCAGTTTCGATGTTCTTCTTGCAGACCTGCAAACTTTGGCCTTTTGTATTACCTGGTGTCAGTATTTGTCTTAGAAACCATTGGTTTGCAACTTTACCATGTTTAGGTACTAATCAGAAGTCCAAGACAAGTAAAATTTCCTTCAGTCTTGTTAATGTGTGATAATATGCCTTTTACTTGTGACAAGCCATTGGTGATGATTGATGTAAGGTGTAAAACGGGGGGAAACGAAGGGGGAAGTCAACCAGGTTGCTGAACTAAAGCTGATGGTGTACTGCTGGATCAATGGTCTTTGAATCACATGTCAAACATTTACTTCCTTGCTGTTTCAATAAAATATCATGCCTTATTCATCTTTAATCTACAATTTCCCTGTGTGGATTACTAAATGGTAAATTTTATGTCTCCTTCCCAACTTAGAGTTATTCCCTCTAGATCTAGTTTCAGCGGAGACATATGGTAAATAACTGGAAAATGACATGTTACATAGTTAATTTGAGTGACAAAATTACAGTTGGTATGTTACAAATCAAATGCCAACAGTTTAGCAATTCAAGTAGGGAACATAAGGAACGTACTTTACATGTTAGTGGGGTACATTGAAAATAATAGAATGTGTCTCAGCCAATCAGTATCATATGCAAGGTAAGAAAATAATGTATGTCCCACTGACTCCTTCGTTTGCTTTGTTTCAGTGCTGAACGACATCGTACAGACAATGTTCAACAAGCGCTTCATGGAGGAGCTGTTCAAGGCACAGACGTTGTACTCCAAGAAGGCCATGAGGACGGTGTTCGACAGACTGGCTCATGCTTCCATCATGAGGCTCAATGCCGCCAGCATGGACAAGGTCAGTGTCGTACATTTACATCAAGGATCATGCAGTGAAAAGTTTTTTTCCACACCATATCTTCATAAATGTTTGTCGCATGCCAAATAGCACAATGATATAAAAATAACACAACTTAGAAGCAATTAGGCCTAGGCATCCTCCACATTTCCGTAAACCAACACTAGCCCATGAATCCATTTTCTTGATTCTTGGGGGCGAAATGATTCAGCATGGTCATGGTACGATGCGTATCACAATACATACATATCGCGATACAATATGTAACGTGATACGCATATTTATATCAGATCAAGTGGAAACTTCTTGAGTGAATAATTTTCACAACAGGTTTAAGCAGGGGTCCGGAAAATTTAAAATCCCAATCGGACATTTGTATTTAGGCCGTGCCCCCTTCAAATAGCATATTTTCGTACGACTTTTCACACACATTACAAGTTGTTAGGTACAGTGTTCCCTCGTTATTGAGCGCTTCGGTTATAGCGCGGTAAAGCATGGCTCCCAAAATTTACTAACATTTTTAGTAAACTCAAGTTTTCCAATGACACAATGTTTTCCCCCTTCTCAGAAAACATTATCAGCTGATCCCCGCGATCACGTAACACCGGAAATACAAGTCAACAAATCCAAACTGAAGAACGCAATTTAATCCTTTCATTATAATATCTGGTAATAAAAAAATTTGTTCACTGTTTATCTGGACTAGAGTTTGCAATATATTTTATTAATATTATTTTTTACTTATCCTGCATTACTCCTTAATGCATTCACTGCTTACCTTGCGACAAAAAAACCTGGGACAGCTAACCGGCGATGGTCCTTGGGTGAATGGCTCTGTTCGTAATCCCACTTTTACATCCCACCGTCGCTGTCCCTGTGACGTCACGTGACCAAAGGTCAACTCTTCACATCACTGCCTGTCGCGACATAGCTAGGACGTTTCCAGCGGAGCTCTCGTTTTTTGGATTTATTTAGACCTTCCAATTCGTCTACCATTCTAAAATTCTTCTGCGATGGGTGATGTATACCTTTCATATTACTTTCAACATGTTGTGAAGTTGTATTTGATGTTTTGAGGCGGAAAAAAAGACGTGTCTTTTTTCTTTTTTTTCCCCGCCACGTGCTATCTGTTCCTTGCCATTTTGAATTGTGTTACAATTGTTTGCTTGGTAAAGGTAGTCAATTGTTTACAATTATCGGCTAGGTATGTATAGCGTATTTCATATGTTGTTTTCAATACTACTAGCTTTGGCGGTTCATTGAGTTGTGTATATTCAAGCATTTATACACTTTCAACTCGTTCCAAAATTTGCCAAGAAATTATCTACGGCAGTAAATTCCAGTCCCGTTTTCTTCTAGTATATTATTGCGTAACTTATGCTTGCGCGTTGTACTAATTGTCGTGGAAAAAAATCTATTAAAGATCCTCACCCACGTTGTTTGTCGTGTACACAAATTTGTGCACCAAATTCTAAATGTGTTTTTTGTAGTAACCTCTCTCCAACGAGTTTCGCGAGGTATAGGCAAGTTACTTACGAACGTATTTTGCAGCAATCACGTCGTGAGAAAAGGAAAATGTCTCTATAGCTATCGCGAATGAGCGAGGGACAGGATTCGATCATTACGACGCAACCTTTATCTATGAGGGATAATAGGTCGGCTGTAACTGTCACTGCGGAGGTGCACATGCCACCGGAATCTTCTCTCCCGGAGAATGTTGGGAGTATTATAATTGCACCTAATTTGGAGAATTCTACATCTGTTACGTCTGCAGACAGTGCGCCAGCGTCTCAAGATGCGTTGTCGGGGGTAGCGATCAGGCAAGTCAGGCAACTACAGGCCTAGACGTGAGTCGCTTAAGGAAGGACAGGTGCAAGATTCTTTTCGTGGCAAAGGGCGTGGCAGAGGAAAACCCCAGGGTTCTTATCAATCCTGACGTGGTAAATACCACAGTAAGGGAGGTGATAGGAGGGGCAAACATTGAAATGTTAGACAGTCACGACTGGGATCTCCTACCCCCAGTCGTCCCAATTGTCGATACCCCCGTAGGCGGGAGACTGAATCTGTTTTGGAAGAACTGGAGCATCCTCAGGGACGATTATGTTCTCAACATTCTACGCCACGGTTACCAACTAGACATAGAGGTTTTTCCTCCGTTGACCACGGCACCCATTCCGGGGAATTATCCAAGGAAGCAACATGTCCTTTTAAAGGCCAACATAGACTTACTATTGGAGAAAAGAGCCGTAGAGATTATACACACCCCAGCGCTAACTCCGGGATTTTATTCTCACATCTTCCTGGTACCCAAGAAGGGCTCAGACAAGATGAGAATGATACACAATCTCTCTGTTTTCAACGAGCTCTATCTGAAGCGTCAACCCTATTTCCGCCTCATTACATTGAGACTACTCAGAACCAGCATAAAAGCGTTCGATTCCTTGATCAGTATCGATCTACAGGATGCATATCTGCACATACCGATTCATCCCAAAGATCGCAGATTCCTCAGGTTCCAGTTCAATGGGGTCCACTACCAGTGGGCAGTACTCCCATTTGGCATTTCAGTGGCCCCGTGGCTATTTACACGAATAATGAAGCCCATAACTGTGTTTCTACAGCTGGGGAACATTTGGTTCCAGTCGTACATAGACGACTGTCTCCTGTGTCATCAACACACACCGACGTTAGTATTGGCCAGAATTCACCAGAAGACTACTATATCAACTGGGTTGGATAGTCAACGAGGCGAAATCGGAGTTAACTCCATCATTTTGACTCCAGTTCATAGGAGGACTATTTCAAACAGATCAGAACCTGCTGTCGGTCCCCAGGGACAGATGGCACAAGATTTTACGCCTCCTGTCACCTGCTCTTTGTCAACCACGCACACTTCACCAATGGCAAGTGTTGCTAGGGTTACTCACCTCAGCCCAGGACCTAACCAACAGAGGCCGATTACAGTTACGCCCAATACAACAATTCCTGAATCCCTACATCAGGAGTCAGGATCCACTCAGGGCCATCATGCTACCAACGCATTTGAGACCTTATCTCCGTTGGTGGACGATAGAGTCGAATGTCTTAGGAGGAATCTCTTTATCAGGGTTGTCCCCGAATCTACACCTATTCGCAGACGCCTCCCTTCAGGGGTGGGGTGCTCACCTACAAGACCAGACAGTCTCAGGGCTATGGTCAAGCGCTCATCGGAAATGGCACATAAACAAATTGGAGTTGGAAGCCGTAATTCTAGCCATATCCCATTGGCAGAATCAACTACAATCAACCCAACTCTCCATATCCACAAACAACAGCACTGTGGTGGGGTGCCTGCGCAATCAGGGAACAACACACTCCAACTCGCTACTTCAACAGACATTCAGGTTTTTCCATCTAGTGGATCGGCTGCAACTACAGTTCATAGTTCAGCACATCCCCGGATGTCGAAACATTCTGGCCGATGCTCTATCACGCCCAGACAGGGTAGCACCCACCGAGTGGAAACTTCACACAGAAGCATTCCAATAATTGGTTCGGAAGTTCGGGCAACCAAACATCGACCTGTTTGCAACTTGCCAAAACCACCAACTTTTGACATATGTCTCCCCGTTACTAGATCCGAGGGCTTGGGCGGTGGACGCATTCAGCATTCCTTGGGAAGGAATAAAGGCGTATGCATTTCCACCACCAGTTCTACTTCCCAGGGTAATACAAAAGATCCAAGAGACAAGAACACTTGCTCTGACTTTGGTCGCGCCCTGGTGGCCAGCGAGAGGGTGGTTCGTCGAGCTCAGGAAGCTAGCAGGAAACGATCCACTACCCCTTCCAAAGTGGTCCAACCTACTTATCCACCCTCACAGCAAATTGCCTCATCCAACACCAGACAAATTTCGTCTGCACAGTTGGTTCGTCTTAAAAAGGCATTAAGTGCAAAAGGCTATTCGGCTCGGGCAGCAAAAGCTATAACCTTAGCTCATCGTCCCTTTACTAGAAGCCTTTACGATTATAAGTGGGGATCGTTTGAAACTTTTTGCAAGGCAAAAGGTCAAGATCCTACTACGGCGTCACCTCAGTTTTTAGCTGAATACCTCCTACATCTGCGTACCCAGAGACACTTGAAAGGTAGCACCATTACCACGTACTTGGTTGCACTTAACTCAGTGTTGGCTGTTCCGGATAATCGTAAGATTACTAAGATCCCGGAACAACAGGCCTTATTACGCTCATTCAGGCTTGAGGATCAGAAGACCAAGTTCCGCCCACCTGCGTGGGATCTGAACGTGGTACTTCGAGGTTTGCGAGGACCCCCATTTGAGCCCCTCAATGCATCCTCCTTTTATGACCTCACCAAGAAAACAATGTTTCTCTTGGCATTAGCCACAGCGGCACGGGTGAGCGAATTACATGCAATCGACATCACCCGGGTTCGTTTTGAGCATGGGACGCACGGAGCGGTACATCTAGGGTTGTGCTGGGATTTTATTGCCAAAAATCAATTACCAGGCCAACCTGATCGTTCCTTCACCATTCCACCAATCTCGACGATTGTGGGCAGTGAGGATGAGGGTGAACTTCTATTATGTCCGGTACGGGCACTGCGAATTTTCATCTGCCGTTCCAAGACTAGGCGTGGTTCGAGGAAGCGGTTATTTATACCCGTATCTACTACATCCACGACCGAGGTCAGTCGCAACACCATATCCTTATGGTTACACGCAGTCATCCTTCAGGCCTATTCGATCGCCAATTTGGATCCACCAAGAGCGAATAATCCTCATGAGATCAGGGCATTAGCCTTTACCATGGCCTTACACAGCAATTGTACTATCAAGACAATCATGGAAGGATGTTTTTGGAGGTCTGACACAGTTTTCGCTAGTCATTATCTTCGCGATGTGACTCTCGAGGACATTGAAGGTGTACGGAGTTTTGGGCCGTTGGTTGTAGCTCAGCAAGTTACCAACCCTCGACGCAAATAATGTACGCACCCTATACAGAGCCTTTTCCTGTTCGGTGTAATCGATCAGATTTCGCCAGAGGAAGACAAGTTATTGTCATCAGGGCTATAATTATATAGTAAGTAAAGATTTGGCTGAGCAGCTCGTTGTCTTTATTACTAAAATGTATAGGGAACTATTCTTTAATTCCCATGTGCAATTGTTTGCCACATTGTAATACCCTACCATATTAGCGTTTTCTCTCAACTTTTCCGCTTAACGGTTTACTGACCAATCTGTGTCATGTTGTCAGGATGTGAATTATTGAGGTTTCTGTATTGTGACGATTTCCCACCTCCATACCGTCCGATACAGATGCATTAAGGAGTAATGCAGGATAAGTAAAAAATTTAGTAAAATCTAAATATTTTTTACATTTGTATACTTATCCTGCATTACTACGTTTAAGGCCCACCCGTCGCAGACTTGCCTCCCCACTTTGGCTTCAGAAACCTCAAAAGTATGTTTTTTAAGCTCGGGCGACAGGCAGTGATGTGAAGAGTTGACCTTTGGTCACGTGAGGTCACAGGGACAGCGACGGTGGGATGTAAAAGTGGGATTACGGAACAGAGCCATTCACCCAAGGACCATCGCCGGTTAGCTGTCCCAGTTTTTTTTGTCGCAAGGTAAGCAGTGAATGCATTAAGGAGTAATGCAGGATAAGTATACAAATGTAAAAAATATTTAGATTTTACTAAATTCAATATTTCATTCAATAATTATAATAATGTTTACAATAATTACGGCGAAATCGTTATGTTTTATATCAAATTTCATACTTTTATTGACCAAGTTTGTTATGCCTGTTTATTCACCTGAAGTCGTTGAAGGGATACGATAACGCTCATCAATTACTTGGACCCCGAAGGTAGCGTTGTTTGTTTTTTGAAATGTCCGGACAGAAAAATTTAAATGTCCGGTAAGCAATATTTTAAATCGGACATTTGAGATTCCCAATCGGACATGTCCGGCGCATATGACCGTTTCCGGACCCCTGGGTTTAAGAGGAAAACCTAGCTGTGAACACGTTTTAGTGGCTATTTTTAAGTTGTGAACATGAAACCATAAAAACAACACACTTTGCAATATTTGACTACCCAAAACGCTGGGGGTGGGGGTCATTAAACAAGAAGTAAATAATTTATTTTAGCAAGTGTTTTGTCTTGCATTGGTACAGACAAAAACGTATCGTGTATTGTATCTTCGCATGAAAACTCATGATGCACTGGTGCACCAATGTGTCGTGTCACCCATAGTGATTCTCGCGATGTCAGATTATCCACGCGAATGGTTCCAGGGGTTAATGCAGGTTTACCGAAAAGCGAGCCCTGGAGATATATATTGGGTGAGTCCTAGGTAGGTGCATGAATTATTGATAGTCATAAGACATTTTCAAACATACATTTGTATTTGAAATTTGTGAATTCTGCTCATTAGAAAATCTAAACTTGTTAGGAATAATCATCATATTCGCTTGTGAAGAACCCTATGTTAAGGATACTTGTTTTTTGTCTGTTATAAATTGCTTGTAGGCTTGTAATAATTGTTCATAGCTGGTGACCTTACTTAATTCTATCCATAATGTTTGTTGTTTGACATTTCCAGCTGTATGACCTGATGACAATGGCCTTCAAGTACCAAATCTCCCTGTGTCTCCGTCCCAAGGAAATCCTACTCATCACCTTCAACCACATGGACGCTGTCCGCAACTACGTGGATGGAGATGCCAATGTCCGACAGCAGGTGGAGCATGTATACAGAATGCTGATTGAGGTAAGTTGGTTTGTACACAGGCTGATTGAACACAATCACCATACAGTGACATCCATTTTGCAAGTGAACGTGACGTTTTGACTTTCTGTGCATGTACCAAGCCTCAGTAAGATGATACAACAAATATGTAATGAGGGTTGCTTGTACTTTCAGACCTATGCACCAATGTCTGCTGGAGAGTTTCACCTGGTGAGACAGACACTCCTCAATTTCTTCCAAGACATGCACATAAGGGTGAGTTTGTCTGGCTTTGCTCACTGAGGATGTTCTTGCTGGAAGAGACAGTCATCATCATCATTGATAAAATTTGATGAGCAGCAACAATTAGCATGATGAGTGTTTTAGGTGACTATAGCCACAATAAGAAATTAGGATAAACTATATTTTTAGTTTACTTTCATTTGCCCAACCATTCCAAGAAGATAATACCTTTTTAAATAATAAATGATCCAATTCATTGTATGTAGTCGGTGACAATTGCAAACCTCTTAGAAAGAGAAGTAAATATGTCTACAGACTCTGAAATGTTACATCATCTGTTTGTAGCATCATAATTCCCTGGTCCCACCTAGGAACAAGATTAACAACAGCATTGCTTTCCAGGTTTCTATATTTCTCAAAGACAAAGTACAGAGTAACAATGGACGCTTTGTGCTGCCGACATCTGGACAACTCCCCTGGGGCACAGAGGTGCCCGGCACTATACGGTGAGTACAATACACAAGGTACAGGCACTATACAGTGGGTACAGTACACATGGTACAGGCACTATACGGTGAGTACAATACACATGGTACAGGCACTATACAGTGGGTACAGTACACATGGTACAGGTACTATATGGTGGGTACAATACACATGGTACAGTTACTATATGGTGGGTACAATACACATGGTACAGGCACCATACAGTGGGTACAATACACATGGTACAGGCACTATACAGTGGGTACAATACACATGGTACAGGCACTATACAGTGAGTACAATACACATGGTACAGGCACTATATGGTGAGTACAATACACATGGTACAGGCACTATACAGTGGGTACAATACACATGGTACAGGCACTATATGGTGAGTACAGTACACATGGTACAGGCACTATACAGTGGGTACAATACACATGGTACAGGCACTATACGGTGAGTACAATACACATGGTACAGGCACTATACGGTGAGTACAATACACATGGTACAGGCACTATACAGTGGGTACAATACAAATGGTACAGGCACTATACGGTGGGTACAGTACACATGGTACAGGCACTATACAGTAGGTACAGTACACATGGTACAGGCACTATACAGTGGGTACAGTACACATGGTACAGGCACTATACAGTGGGTACAGTACACATGGTACAGGCACTATACAGTGGGTACAGTACACATGGTACGAGCACTATAAAGTGGGTACAATACACATGGTACAGGCACTATACGGTGGGTACAGTACACATGGTACAGGCACTATACAGTGGGTACAGTACACATGGTACAGGCACTATACGGTGAGTACAATACACATGGTACAGGCACTATACAGTGGGTACAGTACACATGGTACAGGTACTATATGGTGGGTACAATACACATGGTACAGGTACTATATGGTGGGTACAATACACATGGTACAGGCACCATACAGTGGGTACAATACACATGGTACAGGCACTCAACGGTGGGTACAATACACATGGCACAGGCACTATACAGTGGGTACAGTACACATGGTACAGGCACTATACGGTGGGTACAGTACACATGGTACAGGCACTATACGGTGAGTACAATACACATGGTACAGGCACTATACAGTGGGTACAATACACATGGTACAGGCACTATACAGTGGGTACAATACACATGATACAGGCACTATACAGTGGGTACAGTACACATGGTACAGGCACTATACAGTGGGTACAGTACACATGGTACAGGCACTATACGGTGAGTACAGTACACATGGTACAGGTACTATACAGTGGGTACAGTACACATGGTACAGGCCAAATAAAGTGGGTACAGTACACATGGTACAGGCACTATACAGTGGGTACAGTACACATGGTACAGGCACTATACAGTGGGTACAGTACACATGGTACAGGCACTATATGGTGGGTACAGTACACATGGTACAGGCACTATACAGTGGGTACAGTACACATGGTACAGGCACTATATGGTGGGTACAATACACATGGCACAGGCACTATACAGTGGGTACAGTACACATGGTACAGGCACTATACAGTGGGTACAGTACACATGGTACAGGCACTATACGGTGGGTACAGTACACATGGTACAGGCACTATATGGTGAGTACAATACACATGGCACAGGCACTATACAGTGGGTACTGTACACATGGTACAGGCACTATACAGTGGGTACAGTACACATGGTACAGGCACTATACGGTGAGTACAATACACATGGTACAGGCACTCAACGGTGGGTACAATACACATGGTACAGGCACTATACAGTGAGTACAGTACACATGGTACAGGCACTATACAGTGGGTACAGTACACATGGTACAGGCACTATACAGTGGGTACAGTACACATGGTACAGGCACTATACGGTGAGTACAGTACACATGGTACAGGCACTATACAGTGGGTACAGTACACATGGTACAGGCACTATATGGTGGGTACAGTACACATGGTACAGGCACTATACAGTGGGTACAGTACACATGGTACAGGCACTATATGGTGGGTACAATACACATGGCACAGGCACTATACAGTGGGTACAGTACACATGGTACAGGCACTATACAGTGGGTACAGTACACATGGTACAGGCACTATACGGTGGGTACAGTACACATGGTACAGGCACTATATGGTGAGTACAATACACATGGCACAGGCACTATACAGTGGGTACTGTACACATGGTACAGGCACTATACAGTGGGTACAGTACACATGGTACAGGCACTATACGGTGAGTACAATACACATGGTACAGGCACTCAACGGTGGGTACAATACACATGGTACAGGCACTATACAGTGGGTACAATACACATGGTACAGGCACTATACAGTGGGTACAGTACACATGGTACAGGCACTATACAGTGGGTACAGTACACATGGTACAGGCACTATACGGTGAGTACAGTACACATGGTACAGGTACTATACAGTGGGTACAGTTCACATGGTACGGGCACTATATGGTGGGTACAATACACATGGTACAGGCACTATATGGTGGGTACAGTACACATGGTACAGGCACTATACAGTGGGTACAGTACACATGGTACAGGCACTATACAGTGGGTACAATACACATGGCACAGGCACTATACGGTGGGTACAGTACACATGGTACAGGCACTATACGGTGAGTACAATACACATGGTACAGGTACTATACAGTGGGTACAGTACACATGGTACGGGCACTATACAGTGGGTACAGGCACTATACAGTGGGTACAATACACATGGTACAGGCACTATACAGTGGGTACAATACACATGGTACAGGCACTATATGGTGGGTACAGTACACATGGTACAGGCCAAATAAAGTGGGTACAGTACACATGGTACAGGCACTATACAGTGGGTACAGTACACAAGGTACAGGCACTATACAGTGGGTACAATACACATGGTACAGGCACTATACAGTGGGTACAGTACACATGGTACAGGCACTATACAGTGGGTACAGTACACATGGTACAGGCTCTATACAGTGGGTACAATACACATGGTACAGGCACTATACAGTGGGTACAGTACACATGGTACAGGCACTATACAGTGGGTACAATACACATGGTACAGGCACTATACGGTGAGTACAGTACACATGGTACAGGCACTATACAGTGGGTACAATACACATGGTACAGGCACTATACAGTGGGTACAGAACACATGGTACAGGCACTATATGGTGAGTACAGTACTTATGGTACAGGCACTATATGGTGGGTACAATACACATGGTACAGGCACTATACGGTGAGTACAGTACACATGGTGCAGGCACTATACAGTGGGTACAGTACACATGGTACAGGCACTATGCGTTGGGTACAGTACACATGGTACAGGCACTATACAGTGGGTATAGTACACATGGTACAGGCACTATACAGTGGGTACAGTACATATGGTACAGGCAATATATGGTGGGTACAGTGAACATGGTACAGGCACTATACAGTGGGTACAGTACACATGGTACAGGCACTATACAGTGGGTACAGTACACGTTACAGGCACTATACAGTAGGTACAGTACACATGGTACAGGCACTACGGTGGGTACAGTACACATGGTACAGGCACTATACAGTGGGTACAGTACACATGGTACAGGCACTATACGGTGAGTACAATACACATGGTACAGGCACTATAAGTTGGCTACAATACACATGGTACAGGCACTATTTGATGTGTACAGGCTGTGCCCAAATGGCAGTCCTTGCAAGTTTTTTGTTCAAAAGCCGTTCATTCTCAGTTCACAGGCACTTCTTTGGATGCTATATCGAGAAGTGGGATTTTACCTCAGGAACCTTGATATCGATGTTATCTAACTTGTTTGTGATATGTTTAGGAATATATGAAGTAGACATAGACTTTTAGAAATCAGATCATGAATTCATTATTTTTATGACTCAATTGTTGGCACAAACAGAGTTGTCAGTTTGTGCATAGGGATCTCTTGAAACTTAGACAGACTTGCAACACTAGTGTCGCTATTACGATTCATTCTTCATTAGGTTAATTATGGCAGTGAAAGATTAATCATGTCCTACAATAGTTTTCAACAGTGAAATATATGCAGATAATGTTTTTGGGCGAGAGATTATGACATCTGATGTCACACATGCCATATATATGACCATTTTATTCCTGACATGAAGTGCTGCATATTTACCCTGTACCTTTGCTGCAAGCTTTAAGACCTGGTCTATGCACTCCCAGGTTGGTCAGCAGAACTGACAACTAACAGGCGATGTTGATAACACAAGTCTGCTTTCAGTAATGCTTATGCTTGTGATGTTGATAAAACTGTCAAGGCACACGAGGCGCTTCTCAAAGTGTTCATGTGTTCAAGACATTGACAAATCTCCCTGACTGGTTGGCAGATCCTTCAGTGAAGACGGCAAGGAGAGCAGCAGCTCCTTCCCCTGCAACAGCTACTCCGTGGCCGTAAAGGAGGGGTCATATGACATCAAAGGGGACAGGGTCACTAAGCTGGGCTGCAACATGTGAGTGGTCCGCCGACAGTTGGTACTGACTCACCATGCACTCTGCACAGGGACAACTTGTGTCAATGAACATGAAAAACCAGGCACTGATATATTAGTGAATAATCATGTTTCCATTTACATCAGCGCTATTATGGTTATGAAGATGACACTTTGTAATCCGTGGGAATATGTTAACGTGCTTTCAGTATATTGACTCTGAGTTTACTCCTAGGTGAACTGATCATGGTGTAAGGTATAGAACATGTAATATGCATTTTAATAATTCAGTCATTTAATCACAATAATTTAAGATTCTGTTGTTTTTTCCTAGAAATGCTTTTAGAGCATATTTTAATAGAATTTCCTGGAGACAGCTGTAACATACCAAAGCAATACTGTTGTTACATACCATGTCAATACCATAACATACCAGAACAATATCACTGTGTCAAATAGCTCAACACTGCTGTAACAAGCTAGGTCCAGGTCAGCTCAATCATAACACCAGAACAATACCACTGCAACAAGCTAGGTCCATACTGCTGTAACAATCTAGATCATTGTAACACACCAGAACAATACCACTGCAACACGCTAGGTCCATACTGCTGTAACAATCTAGATCATTGTAACACACCAGAACAATACCACTGCAACACGCTAGGTCCATACTGCTGTAACAATCTAGATCATTGTAACACACCAGAACAATACCAATGAAACAAGCTAGGTCCATACTGCTGTAACAATCTAGATCATTGTAACACACCAGAACAATACCACTGCAACAAGCTAGGTCCATACTGCTGTAACAAACTAGATCATTGTAACACACCAGAACAATACCACTGCAACACGCTAGGTCCATACTGCTGTAACAATCTAGATCATTGTAACACACCAGAAAATACCACTGCAACACGCTAGGTCCATACTGCTGTAACAATCTAGATCATTGTAACACACCAGAACAATACCACTGCAACAAGCTAGGTCCATACTGCTGTAACAAACTAGATCATTGTAACACACCAGAACAATACCACTGCAACAAGCTAGGTCCATACTGCTGTAACAATCTAGATCATTGTAACACACCAGAACAATACCACTGCAACAAGCTAGGTCCGTACTGCTGTAACAATCTAGATCATTGTAACACACCAGAAAATACCACTGCAACACGCTAGGTCCGTACTGCTGTAACAATCTAGATCATTGTAACACACCAGAACAATACCACTGCAACACGCTAGGTCCATACTGCTGTAACAGTCCAGGTCAGTACCATCATAACACATCGGAACAATACCACAACAACAAGCTAGGTCCATACTGCTGTAACAATCTTGATCATTGTAACACCAGAACAATACCACTGCACCAAGCTATGTCCGTACTGCTGTAACAATCTTGATCATAGTAACACACCAGAACAATACCACTGCAACAAGCTAGGTCTGTACTGCTGTAACAATCTAGATCATTGTAACACACCAGAACAATACCACTGCAACAAGTTATGTCCATACTGCTGTAACAATCTAGATCATAGTAGCACACCAGAACAATACCACTGCAACAAGCTAGGTCCGTACTGCTGTAACAATCTAGATCATTGTATCACACCAGAACAATACCACTGCAACAAGCTATGTCCATACTGCTGTAACAATCTAGATCATTGTAACACACCAGAACAATACCACTGCAACAAGCTAGGTCCATACTGCTGTAACAGTCCAGGTCAGTACCATCATAACACATCGGAACAATACCACAACAACAAGCTAGGTCCATACTGCTGTAACAGTCCAGGTCAGTACCATCATAAAACCAGAACAATACCACTGTAACATACCATACTGTGCCTTGTTCTTCAGGTACTCTGTGGCCAGGCCAGTGGAGTTGACCAGTAGTTCTGCACACAGTGGCTCCACAGTGTCCGATATTGTGAGTTTGGGATGTTGGTAATTGTGAACAGTTCTGTTGAGAAAGTTGTGTCAGCAAAGGCAGGAACGATGAAGTAGATTCTACTATGAATTGGGCAAATATTCAGTAGTGTTTGGTGAATCAGAGGTATCAAATCACTATAGCCACCTCTGATTTGATCACTGATATTTATAAAAAAATATGTCTTTTTCAACCATTTCAGTAGGCATTTTGAAATAATTATATATGTGCAATTATTTGTTACTTGTTATTTGTTGTCCATTTACTACAATATTCAATATGGAAATACACTTTGGGCAGAAAACATGATAGAAATTGTATTTCAGTTTTTAGAGACAGTAGCGCTTGAAATTTGGTGCTTTTCTATAATCAAGTCACATCATCACAATGATCGATGTGACATCATGATAGTGATGTTCAGTTATGAAGTAAACCCTGCAAGGCTTAGTTTCTATAGAGGTACACACTTCGTGTTTACTTTTGAGGTGGTTGTGCTACACACTTTCAATGCCTTCATCTTTGTTTCCAATCAGTTGTTTCCAAGTTAAATCTCTATGTAACCTAGCTCTACTTTGAAAACACAGTATCTCCTAAGTAAGCTCTAGCTGAACCAAATACTCCTGATTTGATGGTTGTTTGGGGGCTAAGTAATATTAGCTATTATCTCTGAGTAGGGTATGAGTTGTCAAGTTTTATTGGACTATATCCACTGACCATGGTGACAAGAAGTATGTCCTCTGGTGGAAACAGGATCACATCTTCTGTTGAGAATAAAGGCTATTTCCCAGGAACATCTATTTCCCTCTTTCATATCTAGTCAGTCTTCCCAAAATAGCACTACAACTTATTTGCTTTAATTACATGTAGCACTGATTTGAGATGAATCAATGAGACATTAGGAAATGATCTTGTCCACCAAGTCATTGTATTTTTCCTTGCAGGACTCGGCCACCCCGAACCCACTTGCAAAGGCTCACCTGGACCTTCTGTCACAACTCATTGGCACCAATGTCACGAAAAAATCTGAATTCCGTCTGAATCTGTTCCACACAGATGAAGAGGAGGAGTAAGTACCATCCAACAAAGATGAAATGTTCTTTCACTATCATCCTCTGTTATCCAGTGTAGTATATGTCCTTTCTATTACGAGAAATACCCTTGACCCAATCTCATTAGCTTCACGAATATTGGGACCGGTGGTTATTTGCAACTCTGATTATGTGAGCTTGTAAGAGGTATGATAGTGATATTAATAGGGGTAACAAACTTGGTGTCAGCAAATTGTCCTGCCTTGTCTGAATGTTGAAGTTTTGTGTACAATGTTGGAATCCTATATTGTAATTAGATACTGTAGTGAGCACCTGGGATGTAGCTGTGAGTACCAGGTGCAGTGTTGATGTTATTGTGCTGCACCAGCAGCCACTGCAGACTTCCAGGAGATAACTGTAATAGTGCTTACCCGGGTACTTTCAACTTACTCATTTGTACTTCTTTGTTTTCATCGAGTTGATTGGTTATCAACATGATCAATAACTAAAAGATAGATAAAAATATAGATCAGTTTCCATATCTATTGGACATTCTGGGGCAGAACGCAGTGTGTGCTGCAAGAGCCAAATACAATGAAGAATGAGTGCGTGAGTGAGTTTACATTTATTATTTCAGCCCAATAGTGATGAGTGAAGAATGGGTGTTTACAAGATATCGCTTGTGCATGTCAGTGTACCACCAACAACATCGATCATTGCTAGTTAAGAAGTTATTTTTCCATATTTTAGTTGCCTTTTTTCCTATTTTACTACAGACAAGCAGCAGCAATACGACCAATAGAGACGGCAGAATCCAAGGTGGTTAAGATAGATGCATCTAAGGTTAGCAGCATTTCTGTTTAATATGAAGAGTACAAGGTGGTCAAGAAAGATGGCTGCCTGAAGGGATTGTGGTTCTGATAAATGTTGTGGTTCATATAAAGGGTTGCATGAAGGGAATGTGGTTCAGATAAATGATTGCATAAGGGATCATGGTTCAGATAAATGGTTGCATCAAGGGATTGGATACAGGGCTGCCTGAAGGGATTGTGGTTCAGATAAATGTTGTGGTTCTTATATAAAGGGTTGCATGAAGGGAATGTGGTTCAGATAAATGGTTGCATGAAGGGAGTCGATTGGGGTTCAGATAAATGGTTGCATGAAGGGATTTGGGTTCAGATAAAGGGTTGCATGAAGGGATTGGGGTTAAGATAAAGGGTTGCATGAGAGATTGGAAACAGGGTTGCATGAAGGGATTGGGTTCAGATAAATGGTTGCATGAAGGGATTGGGGTTCAGATAAATGGTTGCATGAAGGGATTGGGGTTCAGATAAAGAGTTGCATGAAAGGATGGGGGTTCAGTTAAAGGGTTGTGGTTCATATAAAGGGTTGCATGAAGGGATTGTGATCAGACATATGGCTACATGGATTGATGATGACTCAGATAAATGGCTACATGGATTGATGGTGACTCAGATAAATGGTTGCATGGAGGGATTGTGATCAGACATATGGCTACATGGATTGATGATGACTCAGATAAATGGTTGCATGGAGGGATTGTGTTTCAGATATTGTCACATGGAGGGATTGTGGTTCAGATATTGTTACATGGAGGGATTTTGTTTGAAACTAAATGGATGCATGAAGGGACTGTGATTCAGATAAATGGTTGCATGAATTGATTGTGAATCAGGTAAATGCTTGCATGGAGGGATTGTGGTTCAGATATGGGTTGCATGGAGGGACTGTGGTTCAGATAAGGCTAAAAAAATTAATTCTTGGTTCTCAGGCACCGCCCACTTCATCACAAAGTCTGCCCCATGTTTCGTTTTTATTTCCATTTTAAAAAAAACTTAAAATCCATAAATACTCCAAATCCAACAGTAGTCAAATACTGTATTCCAGTTTTTTACTCAGCAAGGAATACATTTATGTAGGGAGGCCCTTTCCCAGGTTGCATACATACATTGTTGCATGGTTGCATGGAGGGATTGTTGGGCAGGGAATTATGGGCTTTTCTTAATGCTATTATTTATTTCCCCAGAAACAAAAGAATGCACAACTCAGTAAGATCATGGGCGAGTTGACAGTGGAGGGAGGCTCCTCCGACCAAGGCGATGACCTGCTGGACCTTATGGACAGCTAATGACGGCACGGTGTAGATGTGATATTGACGAAGTGGAGAGAGGATATCTCAGGGCACTCAGCATTGTGTGCATGCAGCAAGACTGAAAGTAGACAATTAAACATCTTGGGTTTTTACTCCCATCAGTGTATGGTGCCAATTGAAGCTAAGGTCTGAGTTTTGTATTCTCTTGAGTCCGTCCATGACAACATGGGTATAGTTTTAATGGATGTTTGGCACATCATATCAAAAATCAATCACATCAGATTGAAAATCATTATGTACGATGTAAGGATATTGGAAATTTTGTCTGTAGATGTTTCACCTGGAAACTGAAGATCAATCTGATTACTTGTAATGCAAGACTGAAGTATATGATCAAACTTGGAATTGATTTGTTGATCTGTTCAAAGTATAAATGTTGATAGAATAGACGTGGAAAAGGCATAAACTTTGATCATGTTGATGGGGAAAATTCTTTTATTATTGATTTTCACATAATGCTACTCAATTTTTGTTTAAGAAAATCAACATCTCAAACAAGTAAGAAGAATCTATGTTAGTACAGATTAAATAGTGCATGATGAGTTTTCACTGTGAAAGAATGGTATTAATTTGTACTAAGCTGTTTGTATATTTTATGTCTAGACTTTCAGAATCTTGCCATAAATTGTTGATGTTATAAACTGGGGCGCAAACCTATTAATAATAAGATAAACATGTTATCTGACAAATTTAGACAAGTGTTGTTTTTTATTATGTAATTTGTTAATGATTGATCTTCTTGGTCTAACTCCCAAACTTGGCAGACTTAAAGGTGTTGTTGGACTCGAATGAAGAAACTTACAGCTTGCTTACTTCGTCTTTTTATCATGAAACATTTCGTTGTAATAACTGTAGTACATTAATAATCTTTGCAGAATAGATTCAAGTACTGTAAGTATAATATTAGTTTTCTTTTCATCTTCAGTAAATATGACGTCTGGTAGTATTATGTTTGGTATATGTTGAACATATGATTGGAGGAATGACTGTCATAGCAATTCTGTCCACTTGTACACAAGATTCACTTTAGTTATGCTTTAAGATCTCCACAATAAGTTCTTCTTTCTAACATAGGAGTGTTTCTCCCTTTGGGTGATGACCACAGTTTCATGAATCACATGTCAAGGATGATCATGCCCAGTCTAGTGTATGCATTTCTGTCAGACAGTTGAACATTATACCACTACTTATATTGACAGACTTCTGTAAGACCACATGTCTGGCTAATCTATATTACCAGTGCTGTAACCATTTTGACAATGGTACAAATGCACTGAAAATTCAATTCACCTTGATTATTACGATTCTCATCGTTTTGTTGATACATTATGATACAGCTGAAATACTGAACAAAGCAGATTTAACCCCCAACTCACTCACTCACTGTGAAAAGGTATCAAATAACAGTTACTATAGTCTGGTCAATTGCCCTGTCAATCAGCTGGAACACTTGCACAGCTCTGGAGTTGCCGTCATCACTGGTTATGTGTGGTTTCAGCTTGCATGAAATGTTTGCTGTAGTTGTGTTTAATTGCCTTACAAATGAGAGGTTGTGTTTGTGCCTTGAGTATAAAGTTGATGACATATAGAATATAGTTGCTCTTGGAATAGTGGAATCTTTTGTTGCACTTTATTTGTAGTTTCTGCATCCCTCGTAACAATCTTACCCCTTTGGCTGTCACACCAAACAGTTGATCTTCTCATTATCTTCAACCACATTAGACTAATGATAAAATGCAAGATATTATAAGTTGTAGCAGGATCACGAGGGGTACATGGAGTTTTATTCGTCCATGAAACTCCATGTACCCCTTGTGATCCTGCTACAATGAATTTATCTTATCGACATGGTTTAATATGACATGGTAAAAGAATTCGAACAAATTTAAAATTGATAGAAAACAGCTGTTTAATTGAGCTGAGATAAGCTTGCGCCATGTCACGTGACTTCCATTAACTCAGAGAAAGCATCAGCATCAGAAAGAAGCATTGATTCATTGTCATAAATGCACAGGCACTTGGAAGTTGTCGATGGGGGATACTTATTTAAACCATACACAATGGGTTTGTTTTTCAGAGATCAAGCGGAAGTGAACATACTTTGTTCAAACATCAAAGAAACTTATATGATATGAGCAGGCTGCTTCATACGCTGAATATCATATGCATACCATGTTTATTTTGCAAAATGAATAGTGGTACAGTTCAGATTAAGATATCGGTGCATTCAATGTTTATAAGATGAAAATAATTATGAGTCTGACTAGAGCAAGCATTTTCATGTGAATTTCTTCATGTGTTATAAATGATGTTATAATGGCACAGAAAATACTGATGTGATATGTTCACACATCTATCACTGAGGAGGGAGTACTTCTCACAAGAAAGAGTCCAGCATATTACTCCTGATGAATAATGACTGGAAAAGTGTGTGTGTTAGTAGTGACAAAGCCGTCCAGTTAACATCTGTCAGTTTGTCTTGTTATACATTTAGACATCAGTGGAGCTTACATCATATTTTTGTACCTTGTGCATACTATATTGTTGAGAAGTACTTACTAGAGAAGAATTGTGATTATTGTACAAAGAGCAAATTGTACTTCAATTGAGGGCGTTTAATATATTTCTACAGTACAGGATCGAGTTTTGTCGATCTGTGTTCAATATGGACACGTAGGCATTGTCGGACTCCAGCAGGACATGTTTAACAGGTTACTTTATAAACTGGGTGTAACATTCTGTTATGCACCTGGATGAGGCTATGAAAGTATACATATATTCTTTGTTCTAGGGCCCTACAGTAGCAAAAAAATGCATATACATTTTAATTTCTACTTTTAGACAAGAAAGGGGTAATATTAACCTGAAAAGCACACACTTAAAACTTGAGCAGAACATTAACTGCCTACCCAGAACCTTTCCCTGGGCATTGCCCGAGAAACAATTCATTTCTATTTAGCCTTAGATTTAACAGATAGACTGGAACTGGCTGTGAAATATCTGCAGACATGTTTTGTCCATGTCACACTTACCATGTAGAAAACAGACCTGTGAGTGTTGGCTGAAGATAGTGACCGTTTTGTTTGTGAAGTATTAACAGTGATATGTCATCTCAAGCACATTGTGAATAAACTGTGACTTACTGCTTTTGTGTCCATGTTATTTGTGATGCAGTTTTGCTCCCCTTTTTTAGGATAAAGTTATGAATTCATGGATATGCTGAGACGTTCTGAACAACTAGATGATGTACAGTCTGATAAACTAGTGCAGAAAAATAATTTAAGCCAACATAGACAGTTCCTGTTCCTAGCGGTGTGTATGGGCGAAGCACACACTTTCAGTTCCTCACCCTCTTTCAGATACTTCTTAGAACAAGTATGAGCTAGCATTAATCAGGAGGATCACATTAACTTGTGAGTAAGAACAGCATATATTGGATAGGTGAACACAGGAAGGACAGACTTGGTGAGGTAACTTTAGGGGTTATTGTGAGTCAAACATGCACTGATTAACAGACTTGTTTCCTGCATTCAAACCTTGTTTTGCCTGATTCAGGCTTTATGACTATATCAGTCCAGTTTCCACCCTTTATAGTTATTTTCATCTCGCTGCTTATGGAACTGGATCGTGATGAATCTTGGTAAAGAGTGTTTATTCAGAACCATTTATTTGTGTTATTTGGATAACTATGTCAAATGGGAATCATTCTGACTGATTCTCTCCCCAGTGACAGTCCTTTGTGTGGCCCAGTGGTGTTTGTCATGCCAAGACCTGCCTGTCACAGGTTCAAAGACCACTCTTGTTCAAATCATGACACTTAGCCTGTCAGAACAATACCAGTGCTCATGCATTTCAATAGTGGGAACTCGGGGTGGTTGGGTAGCCTAGTGGTTAAAGTGCTCATTGTCACGCTGAAGACCCGGGTACTATTCCCGACATGGCTACAATGTGTGAAGCCTATTACTGGTGTCTCCCGCCGTGATATTGCTGGAATATTGCTAAAAGCAGCGTAAAACCATACTCACTCACTCACTCAATAGTGGGAAACCACTGGCTAAAGCAGAGTTAAACTCAGCTCACTCACTCACTGATTATGGGAATAAAAATATAAGACAAAATTGTCCCTGAAATGAAATTATATTTATTAAGTCCATAAAAGATATGTGTATATTAACATTTATTTAATTTATTATGAATGCTGATTTGATGTAACATATGTAAAACCAAATTAGTTAGGTGTCAATAATTTTAGAGAAAACAATTACATCATGCATATTTACTGTGGCCTCCACCTCCCCCTATAGCCACACCTTCACCACCAAAACACAATAAATAAATAAATAAATAAATAAATAAATAAATAACAGTAATCATGGTAATTACTGGCAGTTCAAATAAACAACAGGCAGTCTGCACATTGTTGATATACTTACCATGCAGATTATACATGTTGTGTGTACCTCTATAATGTAATATTTCAAATAGAATATCACATGAACAGCAAGAGAGATATGTAGAAGTGAAGTAAACTTGACTGACTTTTAAAGTTGTTTCTTTTTTATGAAATACTTTATCAATAAACATAAGTGATTCATTATGATTTTTAAGTTGTGCAGTAAAACCAAATAATGACTGATTTGTAATTATTATTTGCACAAGAAAACAATTATCATTTAGAAAAGGTGGCCTCCACCTCCCCTTATAGCCACACCTTCACCGCCAACAAACTTATCCACTGAAATAAACAGCAGTTATCACACAACACGCTGATGCTGGGGTAGTGGTTGGGGATGGTTACGTGGGTGACCATGCAGAAGATGCCCATGCCTATAAGAACAACACAAGAGAAGAGTGGATGAAATGGCCAAGGATGCACAGGGGCTTGAGGGCTGCTAAGCTACCAGTTAGTTATACAAAAAGCTACTGTTGCCACGACAGCTACATCTGCTACAGCTGCACAGCCCTGGTAGCATATGTGTCAACTACTGCTGCCAAGCCAAAATAGCAACTAGCATTGTAAAAATATTGTGGCAACTACCACTGCCGGTGACATGACAACTACTGCTGCCCAGGCCCTGATTGCACAGCTGGCAACTACCTGGACAAACGAGCAACTAGCATTGTAAAACTACCGCAACTGGCAACATGACAACTACCACTGCCCTGGCCTAATAGCATAAAGAGTCAACTACCGCTGCTGGTCATACTGGCAACTACCACCGCCTGGACAAAAGAGCAACTAGCATTGTAAAAGCAGTGTGGCAACTACCGCTGCTGCCTAGCCTACACAGCATACTACTATGATTTCATGACTGAAAAGCAATGAAAGACCACTGCTCAAGAAGCAGGTAACCCCTAAAAGGTTCCTGCTGAAGAGCAGGTAACCAGAGGCGCTATTAGTAATTATGAATGAAGTAAGTAAGTTTGTTACCAGCACAGGTAGGTCACATGAACCACACCACAAAGCCCCAAAATGCTTCCCAACACCCACAGCCCTGCAAGATGAGGAGATAGCATAACCACCCAGTTCATGTTGACAAAGCAAACAATGTAAGTGCACAGGAACAGACACAAATTAATTTTACAAAAATCTACAAATGTCTTTCATCCAACACACAAAGATGGGCATATTTGGGACTTGATAATCTCTTGAGCTAGTGAGATTAGTTTCTGTGATTTTCACAATGATCACTGACCATTCTGGTATTGTGTGCTCGACAGATATCCAATAACCTTCTATAGCATCCAGGAATATCCAATGTAGAAAATGTGATGACATTGACATCTCGTGTGGTGTGATGTGTTATCATTCTATACATTTCAACAGGCCAACACATAGTTCCTGACACTATCAACTTGTACAGCCATGTTCTCAGACCAGATAGAGAAGCACAAAGCTCAGAATCAGAGCAGCCAAGTAGGAGTGTCACAGATTAGAAAGACAGATGATCAAAACCCACATACTGTCCGTTACCAGATGCATGCCATACTGGTCAGGCTCGCTGACTTGGTTGATGCATGTCATCGTATCCCAATTGCGTGGATCGATGCTCATGATGTCAATCACTGGATTGTCTGGTCCAGACTTACTTATTTACAACATCCGTCATATGGCTGGAATATTGCTGAGTGCGGTGTTAAACAACACACAAAACATTCTGTTTGGCTCCAAATAAGATGCAATGACTACCGTGTTGACAAGTTGACATATTGAACAGAGGTGGGGGGTGCAAAATGGTATGAGGAAAGTTCACGTCGTTGTTGACTGAAAAGATGCGCTACTCAACTGATTTGAAACAGTTCGTTTTAAGGTGTATGATTTCTTTCAATGTGAAGCAGAACAAAAGCATGCAATACAGAGGAATATTGATAACAAGTGAAAAGGAAAATAAAAAATATTTCACATCAACAATGCCCAAGATCAGAGGGCAGTATTTCAAGTAATGCATTTATCGACTTCTTAACTCAAAAGAAAGAAAACATCCATGACAACCTGAGTTCATCAATAGACAATATGATGCGAAATGCAACTCGTCGGGTTCATCTAGCAATGGCAGCTATGACCAACTTGACATGCTTTGATTCCATCAGTCCTGATGAAGTTTAATAACCTTTTGCAAAGAGTTCCACAAAATGTTGCAGTCTTGACCCTTGTCCAACTTGGCTACAGTGTCAAGGTTGTTTCTTGCCAACCCTCACTTCAGTAGTAAATCAGTCGCTGGCTCAAAATGAGGCTCCTCCAGCACTGAAAGAAGCCCTAATAATGCTCATACTGAAAAAGCCATCACTGGATCAACAAGTGTTTAAAAACTATCGCCCTGTCTCAAATCTAGCTTCCTTTCCAAGTTGAATGAGCCAGTAGTGGCAGCTCGACTGCAAAAGCATGTCCATGACAACAAGGTGTCCTGCAATCGGCTTACAAGAGCTAAGATCTTTTCACTATTTACACACTATCTGTTGGAAGAATTGCAAGAACTGATGTTCTTGTCTGCATACTGTAGATACACAGCTGTATCTAGGATTAAGACCATTGTCACCATTATCCATAAGTGAGACCTTCCACAGAATCACAGCCTGCATTGTTGTCATCAAAAGTTGGATGATGACAAACTTCCTCAAATTGAATGATGACAAACTGATATTTTCAACATCAGTGTTCAAAATGAATGTATTCCAAGCCTCAAATTCACAATATTCGGGTAGGGGACAGTATTGTTCAACCATGCAGTCATGCAGGAGGCCCAGGGGCGATCATTGATTCAACATTCCGTATGAGAAACCATGTGAACAACATCTGTAAAAATGAGAAGCATCAGGTAAGAAATATCAGAAAAATAAATAAAAAACATTGTAAGTAATAGTAATGATAATAATAATGCCATCTGCATAGTGCTATATTATGCATCTCAAAGAGGACATGCTCTAAGCACATACATAAAGAGTCAGAAAGTCAGAGGTATTGAAAGAGGAAAGATTTCAATCCAGATTTAAAAGCAGACGAGGGAGCTCTGTTCAGGATCTGCAAATGCTTCAGTCATGCATTTTACGCTTCAAAATTAGACTATTGCAACAGTCTCCTGCATGGCATTCAGAAAAGTCATCTGCACAAGCTGCAGCGTGTGCAAATACAGCTGCCAGGCTCATCAGGCGTTACCATCTGCTTTCCATCAACAGATGGTGTTGCCGTCAGTCCAGACAAAAATGTAAGGAAACAGAACCTTCAGCAGAGGTGGTGCTACTCTATGGAATGAGCTTCCAGTGGATGTCAGCAGCTTCCTGTCAACCCTTATGACCATCATCTACAAAAGAGCAGGGAGTATTGGGATATGATGCACTATATAAATATATAATTTATTGTAATATTTTATAATGAAGATATGGTAGATCAGGGCACTGCAAGATACAGGACAATATGCATGTTATGAGATGGACAGCTCCAGGCACTGCCAGACAAAGGCTTAAACCTATAGATGATTGAAAAGATGATTGATCAGAGCACTGCTAGACGATGGACTTAAATGTATTTTGGAATGACGAAATGATAGATCAAGACACTGAAAGACGATGTGCTTATATCTACACATGGTGTGTCTCTAACTGGGACAAAGTCTGGGGATAAAGTTGTGAGGTCGTATATGGAAACTGGGAATGATGAGATGATAGCTCAAAGCACTGTCCGAAGATGGGGTAAATCTATTTATTACTTGCGCGTGAAGAGATCACCCGTTTAATAAACATACAGCTGTATTACACATTGTGTAATACCAAAACGCGTGCTTATGTACTCTCGGAACACGTTTCACGAACAAATATTGAAAGCTCTCAACATCCCTTGGCTTATTCAGCGACATTGCGTGTGGAGATGATAGATCACTGAGAGGAGCTTATGCACACTCGATGACCCCAGCAACCTTGTTGCTAGGTTGGCGTCACATGGCATTGTTTCGCCGAAGGATCTTGCAACAAAATTCCACAAATTACGTCATCGGGTATTGTGACGTGTTGTAAACTTTGAGGTGCAAGGCCCCGTTCCACAAGGCGATCGTACGGTAGCGCGACGACAGTCGTTGGTCTAAGTTAAAGTACATAAGTTGCGATAACCTTAACGCTACGATAATTTTGTGGAACGGACGCCTGAATTCTAAAGGTGGACCGTTGGATGGTATTAAATTCATACGTTTCAACTTTTGACGTATTTGAAGTATTACTGTGTTAAACTCAGTTGGATTATGCCGTGGATCGGGTAGGTGTCAGCCTATTCACACTCAACAGTATAATTCTAAAAACGTTATAAATGGCCAGTAATAAATAAAATACTAAACTCGCTCCCGTGTAAAACCAATTTTATGAAACTCGTGAATAGTTATGGTATCTGACTCGCTTTCACTCGTCAGATACCAGAACTATTCACTCGTTTCATAAAATTGGTATTACACGGGAGCTTGTTTAGTATTCTATATATAAGATTAAAGAGAAGGGTGAATGAGTGAATTAGGCTTAACACTGCTTTAAACAGTACTCCAGTTATATCACAGCATGTCAGCTTAACGTGAGAGGAAAGCCCCAAGTGATGCAGGTCTCAGACAATTACCACTTTGGTGAAACCCACGAGCACGGTTATGGTGCTGACGAACCTAGAAACATAATCAGGGCGAACCGGGAATCGAACCCACAATCATAGGTTTCTGGTGGGCCCAAGGAACGTAACTCTAGACTTAGACAACTGATCGAGCCACCTCTGTCCCCACTAAAAAGAAGGGTACATCAAGGCATTGCTACAAGATATGTGTTAGCCTACATGAGATTAAAGAGATTGGTTGATAAAATCTGTGCCAATTAAAGACAAGATCTGGACGAGGGTTTGGAGTAAAAACGAGTCCTGATTGTGATCCTAACTCTGTCTGCACCTATCTATGCTCATAACAAAATGGCAAGTCAGTTTGAACTTTCCACACACATTTCTCGCCAGCATCTTGTTGTATAGGTGGTAGGTTCCAGGTCTCACGAAGGTGGATAATATTAATACATTCCTATAGACATGGAGATACATAAATCAGGCTGGGATTAATCTCCTGGCTTCTCAAATCACCTGAGAGTTTGACTACATGGAACAGGCAGTTGAAACTGCTCACTGGGCAACAAGGAAGAGGCGTGGCACATGTCTGTCTTGCTCAACATTGAAACGAGTTCAGGAGGTACAATATGTGAAGGGGAAAATACCATTGAAATTTGTTGGTGAAGCTTCATTGAAATAAGAATTGTCAAGTTGGGAAAAGAAATTGTTTACATCTCAATTTAACACATGCCTTGTTCAGGGTGAAAAAAATATTGCCCACGTCATGTTTGTGGCGATTGGTGATGGGCTGAATTTTGGCTGGCTGGCTTCTTCGGTATACCTTATATGATAAATAAGATAATTTGATGTCAGCGCCGAAGGAAATTGTCAATAAATGACAAAATATAGCTAAGTTAAAAGTAACATTTTCAATGTTATCACAAATTCACAAGTCAGTATTTTTTTCTTAATTGAAAACAAAACATCAAAAGATTACTAGTCTTGTAAATTTATAGTTGACTTCTATAAGACATTTTCCCAACATTTTAAGAGATAATTAGAATTAGATACAGTAGCACAATGTTAATATTCAATAAAGTGATGTCCAGACATAAATATCTTATGAAAATATTGAATTAATAATGAATAACGTTTTAGACGCTAATTTAGAATGAATAGGTCTCTAACTAGGCAGACTGGGATAAAGTTTGGGGTCATAAAGTACTCTAGAGATTGAAGTTTTGATGAAGCTCTCATTTGTTCTGGCTGATATCTTGTGACCGGATTCACAGCTGAAAGGAATAGGTTATGAGGATGGATTCACTGAAATCTTCACCAACTGATGATTGGCTGATGGCCTGAGACAGGCTGGCATCACTGCTCCCAGGATCAGGGCTGACGATGGATTTCATCAAAGTCTGGCTGTAGTCTTGTGACAGGTTGCATTCACTGCTGAAGATGGAATCATCCAAATCTGGGCCCAATGACGTCTGGCTGATTGATGCTTGATCTAGGCTGCAAGCACTGTCAACCTGAAGCTTCCTGAATGTGGAATCTTCAAACTCAGGGCCCAATGATGTCTGGCTGATTGTTGCTTGATCTAGGCTGCATGCACTGCTAATGGTAAGAGGCCTGAAAGTGGAATCATCAAAATCTGGGCCCAATGATGTCTGGCTGATTGATGCTTGATCTAGGCTGCATGCACTGTCAATTGGAAGCAGCTGGAAGGATGCATCATCAAAATCTGGGCCCAATAAGATCTGGCTGATTGCAGTTTGATCTAGGCTGCATTCACTGTCAACTTGAAGAGGCCTGAAGGTGGAATCGTCAAAATCCGTGCCCAATGAGGTCTGGCTGAGGCTTGATTCACTGCAAATAGTAACAGACATGAAATGAGGTGGTGAGAGTTCATCAACAAACCCTCCACTGATTGAAGTTTGGCTTATGCTTGCACTGATGCTGGCAGGGAGGGACATATCACATGGGCTGAGGAATGTGCTTGCACTGGTGTCAGCAGGGAGGGACATATCACATGGGCTGAGAAATGTGCTTGCACTGGTGTCAGCAGGGAGGGACATATCACATGGGCTGAGGAATGTGCTTGCACTGGTGTCAGCAGGGAGGGACATATCACATGGGCTTGGGAATATGTTTGCACTGGTGTCAGCAGGGAGGGATGTATGATTTCGGCTGGGGAAGACATGTCTGCTCTCTAATAGAAACATTGAAGGAAGGTCATTAGTGTCAGTACAGTTAGAAGTAAAGTTAGGATAGTCTGAATGAAGCACACTGGTATTTGGACTGAAAAAACCTGCATTGTGAATATTCAGATACTGGCTTGGGATGAAGGATGGGAAGGAAATAGGTTGTTCAAACTGTTGTAGGATGCTGTTGTAGAAGATGGAGGATCTAGGGTTGGGGCATATTAGGCTGGTGGACCTCATTGTAGGACTGGAGGGGATGACAGCATCAGTGTCAGGGCAGGGAGGGTCATCCAGGTTCACCCAACTCTCACTGGGACACAGCATGTTGTGTCTCTGAAGTATCAATGTGGGATTTATTTAGATTCATTTCACACAAAGCACAATATACAGGTATTGTCACATGTTAACCTTATTTACATGAATGTTTGTTCTCATACAGTGATTTTGACTGAGTTAAATGGCATAAGGACATTTCCATGACTTTATCAACTTTTGATAGGACATTCCTCTACATCTCTACCAAATTTGAAAACGATCTATTTAGGACGACAATCTGTCAGTGTCCAGGAGATTGAACCGATCTGAAACCCTGGCTAGAATGTAAAAGCTAGTGTATTTGTGTTCGAACTGGGACATGTCATTATTGTGTGTGTTGTTTAGATGAGTGTACCTCTGGAGTTGATCTTTGCACCAGATCAAGGTGAAACACAGGATAAACTGTAGAATCCAGATAATACTTCACACTGTCGGTCACAACAACAGAAACCTGTCAACAATATAGACAAGAAATTACTTTATATCATAACACCTTGATGTTTTATCAGTTTATAAATAAGGTGTTGTGCTTTATAAGCATATTTCATGGATAAAAACAATGTTTTTAGGCATGTAGAAATAGTAAGCATTAGGGCTGGGACAAGTCCAAATGTGGGTCCTACTCAGGAACCACCCGATCCGAGTACCCAAGTTACCCGCCCCGGCCCTAGTAGGCATGTAGTTACAACTATGACAATATTATTGATCAATTTATGATGGTTAAAAAACCTACAACCCCCTGTCACAGGGTTAGAAATAAATTATAATTTTATATTTTAACTAGTCTGCAAAAAATAACTGCAATAGAACACATAAAATTCCCCAAAGCACATAAATATTTAGGGACTGGTAATGTACATTCTATCTAATCACAGACATTAGACATAGTGGGACTGACTGTTGTGATTGTGAGAGATCAATAAAATGGTATTAGGAAATTTTCATGACTTTATTAACTCTGTGCAAAACTTAATCTTCCCCATTTTAAAACACCTTTCCAAAATTCCAAGTTAACTGGCCCACAATTGTCTTTTGGCATCAATCAGTGGATTTTTGTGAACATTATGATATGGAGAACTATCAGCTGAGCTTAACAGACCAAAACAGAATACTACTGGACCTAAGCTGCAGAAAGTATTCCAACCAGATCTTACTTTCAATGATTAAAACCTTGATAGACATCATTCGCAAATCCCCAAAGCACAGTTGTATATAGGGACTGGCAAATATTGTAGTTTGGTTTACAGTCTGTGCCAAAAGCTTTGAGTCTGCTTGCACAAAACACAGGACCATGTAACTAATAAACCCCAACCAATATTCTATGTCTTTGAATATTTGTTACATGCTGTGTCTGAACATGTCACTTGACATCATTTGGAGGGACTTCATCAGCCTAGCCGTTTTCACAAAAACAGTGCAGTTTTAGCCCACTGATGTAGCCTGCATTCTATCATTTCACCCGATCTTAGTGTTAATGTATGAACTTTTACTAGCAAAGCTTACTTGACCGAAAGAAATTTTATTAGACTTGGGCTACGGACTTGTGGGTAAGGTCATAGGGTTTAGGATAATCTACTTGTCGTTTTTTGTGGGTTGGGCCGTTCATAAACATGATCAGAATTCAGGTCAGTTTTGGGGTCAAAACAAACGTGGTGGCTCCAGAATTACCGAAATACTTACAACGTGCGTCTCAATGTGATAGGCAAACAAGCTGATAAATGAAGAAATCGATAATACAACACTAATCTAAAGGAAAACGTTTTCAAAGAGGACCTCAAAATGTTTAATACTATTTCCTGGTTGTCAAGGATGGTCTGTTTTGTTTACAATGGTAACAAACACAAATTCGGAGACATTTCAGGAGAAAACAAAATGGATACATGCAAAATAACATCTACAAACCTATCTGCAATAACAAGAAGTCACTTGAACTCAAATAGGTCGATGAAATCTGATAAAATAACAACTGCGATAGCAATGATACGCTTCTGTCAACGATGAATTGAAAGATCCGGGTCTTGAACTTAGCAACCGTTACCGTAGCAACACCGGAAATTGATTTTGCTTAAAAATTGTTTTTGTATTCACAATGGAAATGGGCTTCTGGTAAAACTTTATCAAAATAATAATGACCAAATAAAACCAACATAAATAAAATGTTTGATGGACCCGACTCGCTCTGCGCTACGTCAACTTTGTAACATGTAGAGACGGAGCCTGGCGGAATGGAACACGTCAATTCGTTCACACGAAGTCCAGTTAATAATCACGCTACAACAATGCCAAACGTTAGCTATAACATTTATTATGGAGGTTAGTCCGTTTAGGTTGAACTTGACATGATGGTGCCTGGATGTCCCTATATGAAGATGGAACACAATATTTTTTCAAGAGTAATACAAAAGTCAGTTCCATGTAGCAAAATTTTTGTGTAATGTGTAAAGTCGATCGGAACACATGACCACGTAACTAATAATAAAAATAAACAAACACGCAAAACAACAAACTTTTGCGAGTTTGTTTGTTATTATTGTAGCAGGACGTGGAGTCATCCCACAGGTGACATCCTTACCTTGCTGACGGGGTTAATTGCTTTGGACAAGGCGTCCGACATCTGATCAGGTCCGTGGTTCGAATCCCATCACCGGTACTCGGAATTTTTATGACGGCTACATTATTATTAGTTACATGGTCCTGTGATCGGAAATACGTGGCCTGCCATGCTTGGTTGTGAGCGTTGATTATGACCCTGGATTTGGTTTTCTTTATTTTCTACGTTTGTTGTTCAACGCCGCACTCAGCAATATTTCAGGTATATGATGGCGCTCCGTAAATAATCGAGTCTGGACCAGGCAATCCAGTGATTAATATATCATGAACTTCGATTTACGCAATTGTGATACCATGACATGCATCAACCAAGTCAGCGAGCCCGACGACCCGACCCCCTTAGTCGTCTCTTACGACAAGCATCGATGGGTTGCTGACGACCCTTTCCAATCCAGATCTTCGCGGTTCCCCTGGGTTTTAATGAGAATAGGTCCCCAGTTTTACATGCTGGTTGTTGGAGCTGAAATCAGGATTGGGTGGGTACAATGGGGCTCATATAATGCCCAAATATGTTTGTCCACCGCTTACAGACTTCATGAATTATATGCTTCGTGATATATCTGGAGTATTAAGCTTGAATTCAATTTCACTCACATTATATTAGATCACTCTAAACACTGCAACAAGTATCATTGCCAAACAGAGGTGGAGTAGCCTCGTGGTTAAAGCGCGCGTTCATCACACCGAAGACCCGTGTTCGATTCACCCCACGTGTACAAGGTGTGAAGCCCATTTCTGGTGTCTCCCGTCGTGGTATTGCTGAAATATTGCCAAAACCACACTCACTCACTCATTGCCAAATATTCCATACAACATCACTTGGCCCCGTTAAAATATGTAGTTTTGAAATATAGTAAGCCACTGAGCGGTCGTTCCAAGCTCTGCTAACTGGTAATCCAACAACGATGTTCATATTGTCCAAATCATTAGGTTTTACTGAACGTCAGTCAGAGCTGACATTTGGGTGCAAAATGCGAATACAACTGGGACGTATAAAGTTGGACCAAGTACATCTTCTTTCATATTTTCTAGGCTTTGGGTATTGCTTGACTTCTTTAAAAGAGCACAAGACCTCACCGCTGGCTTACGAATCTGATAATGACAAACACATTGATATTTTGGTAGTGCAGTACAAGTCTGTACATTCTCAAACTGCATGGTGTTAATGTTCAGGGATACGTTTTTATGTCCAAGGATACGTGTTTCTGTTCAGGGACACGTGTTACTGTTTAAGGATACTTTACATATAACATAAGGCTGGAGTCATCTGATGAGTAAAGTTTGTTTGTAAAATGACAGGATTAAAACTTGCATGGTATTGCAAATATTTTTGGCTTTGTGAAAAGTATAATGCATTTTAGACAATTGTCAGAAATAGCAGTTTTAAAATGTAATTGCGAAAAAAAAAAATTACTGTAAATATTATATAAAATTCCACGTGATGTGTCCATGTATTCTATAAAAGTGGATGGTTTGACTGGTGTGTGTATTTCACCAATAAAGAGGGTGGCGACACCCCGTCCAGCCCCGCCTTAAGAACTCTCGAGTCACATCAGTATACACAGCTAGTGTTAGTAAATGCGACTGGGATTTTCACATAGAACGCATGATCATTCTTGCTTATAAGGTTAGGGCTAAATTTTGTATTGATTTGACACTCTTTGCAAGAAAGGAAACCATAACAATTTAATTCATACATTGAAAGTATCCGCGTACCAGAAAAGCACTTCCTGGCATCCAGCTTACAACATAGTGGCATCCGGAAAAGGGCTCGGCATGCTGCTGACCAAAGACGCTTAGCACCCTCATAAAATACCATTCATACTGATATTAATTATGAAAATTAGTAAATACAGTCTGTTAAAAAAAGTATAGTATTTTTTTACATAAAATTCAGACTGGAATATCATTCTTAAAAACCCCATCTGGAATATCAGGGTTTTTTATCACTAAAGGTACATAAATATACTAGTATAAAATAACCTACAATCTCTATTCAATGTCTTCCTGGGTTATTTGGGAGAGGAAATATAGGAGTATGATAATTCGTTCTGTTCGTTTCAGTTACTGGTCTCTTTTTATAACACCTGTCATGTGACAACCTATGAACGTTCAAAATGGCGTCAGCTTCTGTCGGTGGTAGACATACTATTGATACTCTTGCAGCAAAAATGAGCAGCCCGGAATGTTTGAATGATTTTGCTTCATGCCGATCGGTCCTGTCAAAGGTAAGTATATAACCTACCCTGTTAATGTAATAGTTGGCTTGAGGAATTCGGAATTAAACGCTAAATGCCCACTCAATGCATCGTTCTACAGTTGCTGCGAAATTGTACCAATGTACTGCTTTCACTTTCCTTCTGATCGCTCACACGAATCACGTCTTCATAACAGTCTACAAAAGTATGCTGATTTTGCTCCAGCCTCCATAAGCTCTAGTAGAATGTTCTGAATGCGTGAATCGTAGCTATGTCGAATAGTAAAAGAAGAGCATTACATCTAAACGTATTTGAAGAGACGTCGGAGCTGGGTGCAGGTTAAAACGACATCTAAGCAAAACGTCACCTATTTCTCAGGCGAAAACGGCACCTCTTTTTTTAATAACGATAAGAACGATTTATGTAGTAGTATGTATATACTTTGCTCATGCATTAATGCATACTTGTAATGTCGGCTGCCGGCAAAAAGGGGACCCGGGATATATATATATATATATATATATATATATATATATATATATATATATATATGGAATATCTATAAAATTATTTCCTACTTACTAAAATAAATATTAAATATATAGTATACCTGTAGTCCAATTTCTTGACATTTCAGACAGACTCAGTTTTAGCGTGACATTGAATTAATTTGAGTAAAGGTATTTAAAACCTCAAAGTATGAATAAGTTTCACAATAAGTTTAGTTGCACCTCCCAATCAGGATCGGCGAGTAAATTGGAATTGAGGCTAGTTTTTAATGTAAACTTGTATTAACATTTCTCAATTATTTATGTTTGCAAGTGACCATGTAAGTTTAATTTCATGTATTTCAGTACCAAGGAAAAAAAATATATAAGGTGCCGTTTTTGCCAGGCAATAGTGGGCCATTTTCGCTTAAAGCAAGGTGCGATTTCGTCAGTCGGTGCCGTTTTCACTCAGTGCCGTTTTGCTGAGGTGCCGTTTTGGCTATAACCCTCAGAGCAAAGGGATCCATGTTTTGTTTTCGTTGACCGTTCATTAAAAATTAGAATCATGCATTCCCTTTGGGGTCTGACATAATCCATTTAAAAAAAAAAAGAGTTATCTTTTTCTTATCAACCAAGCAGCTTTGTGAGTAAATTATTTTTCATATGTTATCTAACGGCTAGTCAGAACTCAGTTCTGAAAAATCATATACTCTGGTTACCAGATAATAATCTAATGATTTTTATTGTGGATAACCAAATAGCAATCAGCACAGCAGACCTTTGTCTAATTTGTGAAAACATAATATGTCAATGCAGGATGACCGTGATGAACCAAGTGTTGTACCATTAAGATTAAGGGACAGGACGTTCACCGTTCTAAAACTTTGTTTGTAAACAATAGCAGATAACCTCCAAGCTAACTTGGCTCTGCTCACCTTATTCCACTAGAGAATTTTTCTTCTCCAGTGACCACACCATAGGTGTAGGCTTATCACGTGACGGGACTTTTGTCTTGTTTGTAAACAAGCGCACTTATTCTGAAGCAAGAACAGAAGCCCTTCGGAGAGCTAGCGATATTGTCAATTTGATGTGTAAAGCTATATTGTCATGCACCTCACTGTCGCATCTGTAGTAGTATGTCTATATAATTATGCAAAACAATATGTGAAGTGCAACAAAAGGCTTACATTAGGCCAATCTGTTCTTATTTCAGAATTAGTGTGTTTGTTTACAAACGAGAAAAGTCCTGTAATGTGATAAGCCTACACCCATGGTGTGGTCACTTGGGCAGACAATTCTCACACGGAATAAGCTCTCGGCTATTGTTGACAAACAATGATTTAGAATAGTCAACGTCCTGTCCCTTATAAAATCCCTGTGCACTAGCTGTAAGCAATTTTAGCCTTTGTATCATAGTTTAGGGGAGGTCGGGTAGCCAAGTGGTTAAAGCGTTCGCTCGTCATGCTGAAGACCCGGGTTCAATTCCCAACATGTGTACAATGTGTGGAGCCCATTTCTGGTGTCCCCAGCCGTGATATTGCTGGAATATTGCTGAAAGAGGCGTAAAATCAAACTCACTAACTCACTGTATCATAGTGTAGCTGAAGGGGTCGTCTTTTACTGGTTACTACAGAAATGTACCCTGGGTATAATCAAAGTACAGAAATGGATTTTCAACACTCAGACGTAGTATAGGCCTACATGTTATTTTCGCATTTTAAGTCACTCATGTTTCCATGGTTCAAATATTGGTTCTTTAATATTTCTTCCGTAGGTGATGACTCTAAGTGCCAATCATGCTAACCTGACGCCATTGTTGCCCTCAGCGGTCAAGCTGCTAGCCCACTCCGACATGTGCATAAAAAAGATGGCTGGTCATATCCTCATTCAGTATGGTGCCAACGACCCGGAAATGATCCTACTTGCCATAAATACACTCCTGAAAGACTGCCAGGAAAGTAACCCAATGTTAAGAGGTCTTGCTCTTAAAACTCTCTGCGCCCTACAGCAGGAATCGATTCTTGAATTTGCAGACAAGGCTCTTAAGAAAGCTTTGTCAGATAAAAGCTCCTATGTAAGAAGGGCGGCTGTAATTGGAAGTGTCAAAGTATTTCATTTCTGTAGTAGTTACATCCGAGATGGCCACATCATTGATCAGTTGTATTCCATGATTCGAGATCCAGATCCACTTGTGGTTGTCAACTGTATATCTGCTCTTGAGGAGATTCTTCATGATGAAGGAGGCATTGTCCTTAACAAGAATATAGCTCATCATTTGTTAAACAGGGTGAAGGACTTCCCGACTTGGTCACAAGCCAATATATTAATGGTTCTAAAGAAATACACACCTTCATCAGATGATGAAGTGTTTGACATTATGAACCTTGTTGATCCTTTTCTCAAACATAACAGCTGTACTGTAGTATGCTTCTGCCTGGAACTCTTTCTGCATATTGTAAGTCCAATGCCTCATCTACAAAGTGAAATATGTCGGAGAGGCAAGGAAGCCATAGTGAGTCATCTTGGTTCTGGCAATATTGAGCTTATCTATTCTGTGGTAGATTTTTTGTCTTCTCTATCTAAAATGCATCTTCAGGTGTTCTGTTCTGACTATCAGTCATTTTTCTGCCGCTACAAAGAACCTCCATACCTGAAGATGAAGAAGATGAAGTTTCTACCTGTGCTGCTGAACCAGAACAACGAACAAGCAATTCTGGATGAGCTGAGCCTCCACTGCAAGGATGGATGCAAAGAAGTGTCCAAATGTGCTGTAGATGCACTAGCCACCATTTCTAGATCTCACCAGCATCTCAACCAAAGCTGTTTAGAAAAGTTCCAAGTTCTTCTTGAAAGTTCCTCTAGTCAAGTGGTATCAAATGTTCTACAAGTCCTACAGATGGTACCCTTAAAGGACCAGGACAGGATCAAGGACATCATCTTGATCCTGGGCAGCATCCACAGGACTGTTAAAGATGATTCCGGGACTATAGCTCTACTACACCTGCTTGGGGAGTATGGGCAACATGCGGAGGATGTTCCCTACATTCTAGAAGACTTTGTGGACAGACTGGAGGAGATTGACAACCCAGACCTCAAGGAGCAGCTTCTCAACACAGTCATCAAAGTCTTCTTCTCTCGACCTGGAGAGACACAGTCAATTCTGGGGTCACTGTTAGAGGCGTGTATCAGTGACTCGAATCGGGCATTGAGAGACAGGGCAAAGTTCTACTATAGCCTGTTGGAGACAGACGTGGTGTATGCCAAATCCGTGATCTGTGGTTTAGATCCTGAGTAGAGACCAAGAGTGAGATGATCAAAGAATTTGGATTTATTCAGTATGACGGAAACAATGTATCATATCTCATATGTATCATGACTTGTGATATCGTTTCAGTACAATTCAAGTATATGATAGGCAGCCGACTGATTTTTAAGACTTGTTTTGCTGATTAAGATTGTTTAAAATTTTAAAGCAAGTTAGAACCTTATCATTCCCGTTGAAATTCATGTATGATATTAGTAACCTCTTGAACCCTTGATAAGGTCGTTGAGGATTTGATATTAGTTGTTATTCACTGAACATTAATGTACACTTGGCCTAGTGTCTTGGCATCAACAGGACACAGGACATTTGTATATGATGTAGGTTATCAGGTTTGTAGGTGCTGCTGCTTGGCCTCACTACCAGGAGTAAACATGGTAAGTGATCTAATGTCACATTTCTTCAAAATCTTTACTTGACAGGCTTATTGATAGTCAGATTTTGTAATGGCATCAGTTACAATTCTACCTTTTCATCTTTGACTCTAATGGTTTTTTTTGTATCAATAAAAATAATTGTACTTACTGGCATCAAATTGATGTATTGTAAATCAGACTTTGTACATTAATGTGGTGTTTCATTGTTTTTTAAATAAATAACAATAATTATTATACAGAAGTAAGTAGAACCTAGCTGTCATGAAAATTCATAAAAATCTATAGTTTTCTTTTTAGCTTCCTTCCATGCCTACTGAATGTACTGACAATATTTGTTAGCGAAACAGTAAGCTTGTTAGTTTTGTTACCTGAAACACATTTATATATGTTGCCTAATGGGAAGCATGCACTATTTATCATTTGATTGGGGATATATAAACAGAACAACATTAAGACAATACAAGACAAGTTATTTTGATAGGTCACATATTGTGAACATGCTGCCTTTTTCGGGACAACCTCTATCTGAGGCTGACATGTGTTTTCACGATTCAAATTCAATTGAGAATGTTAAATAAATATCATGATGTATGCATGTGTATCTCAATCAGGTTATGGCTGCTATTATATGGTCTCTGCTGTAAGACAGCAGTCATATGCTCTAGTCATAAATGATCAACTATGAGTCAAATCATATTATATTGCAATCTTCAAACTCTTGTGAATCGCTGAAAAAAGAGCTGATTCAGCAATAACATGTTCAACACTGTGAGAGTCGTTTTAGCTTTCCCATACGTTTGGGTTGAAAAGATACAGGAAGGTCCCGACACATAGGGTGATACAATACGTATCGCGGCATGACTATAAATATTTCAAAAGGACGCTACCTGTAGACACGTTTGTAGCAGTTATTTTTAATAGTGAACTTGACACACTAATTATAACGGATTTTGAGATATTTGACTCACAAAAATGCCGGTGGGTTCATTAAAAGAGTCAACGTGTGAAGCCCATTTCTGGAGTCCCCCAGCTGTGATATTGCTGGAATATTGCTAAAAGCGATGTTAAACCATACTCACTCCCACTCACTCATTAAAGGAGTTGTCAATAATTTATTTCAGCAAGTACATCGTCTTGTATACATTCAGAAAAAAACGTATTGTGTATCGTATCGTCGCATGAAAACTCACGATGTCAAACATTGTCATGTGTAAATGCGTCCTACTTTAAATCTAGTCAGTACATACTCAGGTGTATTGTATCTATCAGAAGACTGGTTAGTTGAGTTTGTTCATTGATAATTAGTTGTGTGATCAGCATTGGACTTTATGTACAGTAAGATAGGAGTCAAACCATTTGGTAGTCAGTCTGACAGGAACCCATTTGGGGATTCCTATGATCCCTACAAACAGCATGTTCCGTGGTGGTAGTGGGTTTGATGGCTTGATAACGCAGTATCTATAAGTTTCAGCACATCTTGTGAGACACCCAAGTTTTTGCCTGAATATGTTTGAAAAAGATTACATACATATTCCATGTATTAAGACCTTTGTGTGAAATGTGAGTGGATGGGGAGTGGGATCCGATCTCATGACCACCAGCTGTGTTACAACTGCAAACTTGAAATATCGTCATGAAAAACAAATGTACTTACACTATGTCAACCTTAACCTGCAAGACCAACAAAACTAGCAGTGATAACTTCTTAAAGAACACAAAATGACATATGAGTCATAGTAGGCATTTACAAGTTGGATATAATTATTACAAGGCGTATTATGGATAACAAATTCTTTTTTTTATACCAACAAAACATTTCAGGGCTTCTTTTCCCCCCTTATTAGGTGTATGAGCATCATATTCCTTGTCATAAAAAAGGGAATTATGGAGAAATATTAAACTGTCTTGTCTTATAATATAATAGTTCAATTGCATAATTATGGTGGTGATTTTATAGACTCAACACGTTTTCTGGTGTTTGTTGTTCTTTGTTTTAAGGGACACTTCATGTACCAAAGACTAAATCAGGACTGGGATTACAATATTAGTTTATTTAGTTTGTTACTTTAAAGAATATGATGTAGCATTAATTAGTGGTTTATTGTGAAAAATATGAAATATATGAACTAGTAAATTGTGCTTCCTGACTAAGGTAATAATTCTATTTCATAACTTTATTGCAATTGTTGTCTTTTGTGTTATTTGTCCACATTATACAACCTTGATATGTGTGAGTGAGAGAGATGTGAAAATATATGACATCACCATGGTGACATCAAGGATTCTATAAGATGTAAGTTTTTTTTTATCTTAGATCATTAGAGACCCACTAAAATAAGTGTCCAAGGCAGCTGTATTAAAGCCCATCACCCAGCCCGTGACACTACCTTAGTTACCTGCAAGTCCCGGTGTTCCATTGCAGTTTTCTTTAGCATCATTCCTGTGCTCTGGCAGGGAGGGATCCTGGATTTCGAAAAAAGGGGGCTTCCATTTGTCATTTAATTACCAAATCTACATGTACTATTAATTGTAGGATTTTTAACATTAAAAAGAGGTGTGGGTACGGGGGTGGGGGATGGCCACCCCAAGAACACCTCCCTTCTGGATCCGCCACTGTCTGGGTTTTCACCAAAGTGGTCACCATCAAAGACCTGCATCACTTTGTGAGCTGACTGCATGAGAAACCTAACATAAATAGAGGTTATCGCTTGAGTGTCTCGTGGTGGTAAACTATCCTTTATTAAGAATGAACATTGTGTTTAGCGCCTTCCCCACACCTATAAACATGTGCGCGCATGCATGCACACACACACACGCGCGCGCGCACGTACACAAACACGCACGCACACACACACATCTTTTGAGACATACTCATGGTTGATATCATTATGGTATACACTATAGTATAACACCACCAGGAATAACTCATTTGGCGATTGATATATTTACAAAATAAATATTGATCAGTAGTGATTCATAGATATTCTATAATAAATAATATTTTCTGCAAAGACATGCACGATCAATGCTTTATAATTATAATTCCATCATTTGTTTCACGGCATTATATTCGTCACACTTCTCGGTGCACAAGCGTGGAATATATTTTACGAACGCTCCATTGAATTTCGTAAAGGGTGGACAACTCGTATCCCCTTTCTTGCTGAGGTCCCGTCCTGCTCATACAGACAGCGGACATGTGAACTAAGCTTGCAACAAACCTTGGTGCATCTCATCTTGTAACGCCATTGAACATTCACAATGTGGATCCTACATATATGTGTTTTACATCTCATCAGACGACCATCACTCAACCATCGTCAGATTAAGTATTGAAATATCTTGGAACCTCGACGTGAGGATCTCGCGTGTTTTACATACTTTCGCAAAAAGACACAAAACCCTTCCGTAAGCATAAGACGAAATAATGATGAAATAAGTTTGTTTTCTTTACATCGCATAATAAGTAAAACAAAATATGCATACTAATTCCCACCCTCGTGCAGCTCCTTCTTATGTGTTTGCTTAGTAACTTGTATTGGCGTATGTCTTTTCGTGATCTTTTTGAAGAGTATGCTTATTCAGGATAAAATGAACGTTCTTCGCCTGTATAACGCATGCATCTGGTCAACTGTAACAACGTCTCATATCGATGCCAGCAGGATTCATGTTTGCCAATGTGGTGGCACAGCGCACTATCACAAATCAGTTGAAGTAAGATACGTCAGTCTCGGAGAGTAGATGGATGGGTGACCGCGTTCGGCAGCTCCGACTCCTGAGAGTTTCTAGAGCTTCGGTCCTGCCCCACGTGGAAGCTCATGCAACACATGCGGTGTCTCCGTAAGTGACTTTGCAGTAAAAATTGGATGAGATGAAAATGTGACCGTTAACCTTCTAGCGCCTCACAAGGCAGCTTGGGTTGTACACTACCTACGGAGCTGAGAATGAAATCGAGAGCACACTGATCCAAGGACTGGGGAAATAATGTTAGCACTTAGAGCTTAGAGTGTATGGAGGCTGGCGAAAGTACCCTGCATTATAATAATAATAATAATAATAATAATAATAATACACGACCCACATAAGTATTATCCTTATGATCAGTGTGTATATCGGAACCGACGGTCCTAATTTAGATGAAATCTGATAATATTTCTTCCTCAAGGTCACGTAAAGGACACACTGCCCCGGTCGCTGTCTGGCTTTGTTTACTGCTGGTGACATGAATCAGTTTGGAAATAATGCGTTAGTCGTCCACGACTGAGAGTGCAGGAGGGGTTGTCACGTCTGCGCAATAGACCCAAATACCACTTTCACGCACAATTTTCTTATTTTGTTTACCTATGTTTAGAAAGTAAGTCAAGGACTTTACTACGACAGTTTCCACTCTATGTTTGGCCATATTTATACAACGGCCTTCATTGATAAGATCCGGATTGGTTTTCAGTGATCTGGTCACGCCTTTGTTGCGTGACGTATACCGCCATGCATGGGGCACGTGTTTATTGCTCCATTTGTGGGCTAGCATGTGAAATGCGAGTGTGCACTGGTGTGAGCTGGAAATGAACGGCAGTTACTGGTTTCTTATTCAGCCGAATTTTCTCCTTGAGTTGAACTTTCGTTTCATATGGTCTGAAGTCGACAATATCATATATTCATGTTTGGTCGCCTTCAGACTACTCATGGTTTGGGCGACAGTATCTGATTCCCGGACGTTATATTAACTGGCTTTAACCATGACAATAACACTCAATTTTTCTCTCAAAATGATTTTTGTGTGTGGATAAGATGTTTTATGAAGACTACATTGTTATAATTGTAACTGAGTCACGTGCGTATATTTCTATAATCCGTTCCAGACTGTCCTCATTGGACTTAGAATAAATGTGAATTTCCTGTTTTCGTTCGAATGTGTCTCCTGTAAACTTGTCGATAGGACTCATTGTGACTTAAATACTTCAAACCACAGGTAGGGCGATCGGTAGTTACTCTATATTTCAATAACAACAGTCTGTGAAAAATTATTTTCTTTTTTAACAGGCAAAATGCATTTTTCTAGCATTTCCGACAGTACTTTAGTCCGGACTGCCGCCGGTTTTATAGCACAAGCCCACTGAGATACAATGCCGCGGTTTAACATATTGGTATCCCACTAAGACACAGTATACTGACTCGAGCGGACCATTCCTTGTTTATCCCTTTTATGACAGAATAACAAGTACAATCTTATAACGTCTGTTGATATGACGCGGCCAGGGATCGACTCCCGACCTTCTGTTCTCCAAGCAGACGCTCCAGATTCTAGACCATGCAGGCGGTAGATCATCGTGTGGTTACAGCGTGTGACCTGAGTGCCGTTGTACTAAACAACCTCAGCGCTACGACTGCCAGAAGTCTATGTTAAGATATGTAGGTTACGATTATGTTTGCGCTAAGAACGCATTGCACAACGGCCCCCTGGCGGCATGGGAAAGTGATCACGCTATCAACCACTGGGTTGTGTCACTTGGGTGGTCCAAACACGATTCTGTACAGGCTGCCGTCATGTAGTTTGTTTGTTTATGGCCACAGTCAGCAAGATTTTAGTTTTATCAAGGCGGACGGGAAATAATGGAAACAATCCAGTGATTGATATTATATGTAACGTCCCACGCCGTCGAGGTGTAAACGATGGCACGTAATCAACCAAGTCACCGAGTCGGAACACCAAACACCCGATCAACTTTGTCCCCGCAAGTCTCAAGACCCAGGAAAATCGGGTAGAGAATATCGGTTTTCAGCACCCTATACTTGCCGTAAAAGGGGATTATGCTAACGGGATCGGGTGGTCAGGCTCGCTGACTTGGTTGTTGCATGTCATTGTATCCCAATTGCGTAGATCGATGCTCATGATGCCAATCACTGTATTGTCTGGTCTAGACCCGATTATTCACAGACCGCCGTCATATACCAGAAATATTGCTGAGTGCGGCGTTAGACAAACACACCCCAAAAGGGACAGTCATACGTTGCGGGGGGACCTATTCCACCGGGGCGGTCGTGATATATCTCGTACAACTTGGTAAAACTATGCCGCAGATATAGTTAGACTACTGTTGTAATTGTCACCTCTTTTATTTGTCCCTTTTTTAAGCAGAAACTTTAATTCAGCATACCCACAACTGATACTCATGTGAAACACATTTTCTGTATTGATTGTTAAATGTAGAGATCCATTTATTGAACAAATATGTATTAAATAATGGTATTGGCTATCTGCACGCTCCACAAGCTATTTCACACAGCACTTATAGAATAATACAAACATTCTCGCATACTTTGGTAATGTATGTATCTTACTACACACAGTTACTGACACAATGCATGGGTGACAAGATCTGTTTCAACACCTTCAGAATGAAATACAGTGATTAGAATACATTTGTTATTTTGCTCAATATCATTACCTGGCATTCTATGCTATGTCATGTTAACATTCTATTTTTCAATATTGACTTTTGCCATTGACATAATTATTACATTTATTGGTGTGAATGTTGTCCAAACTGGTTAAAAGGCAGACTCCCCTAGACATTTCCTCTTTTTTTCGGAAAGACCTGCTCACATCCCTGAAATTAAATTATTGGGTCTCTTTATAGTTTGTCAGACTTTCTGTTTCTGGGATTTCTTGTGGCAGATTTTCCCTAGCAATGGACCAGCATGTTGAAATGACCTATCACCGTGACTTTGGCACCAATAGCAGATGTTGATCTTTGATCGGAGAGAACGTGCAGGCTTGTATGGTACTATCGGTTCCTGTAAGTATGGAGGAGTTAAACCATGCATAGCCTTGTTAACCAGAGTGAGTAGTTTAATTTGCACTCAGTGTTGGAATGGCAGCCAGTGCAGTTCAGTCAATGTTGCAGTGATGTGTTCTTAGTGCGGGATTCTGAACACGCTGTAGTTTTTCTGCACCCCTCTTTGGTATGCAATATAGGAGGGAATTACAGGAATCATAATATTACCTACTAAAACAACACAGGTTCACATTCCCTTCCTCTAATCACCATTTAGAGTCAAAACATAGTACTAGCATTTCCTGGTGTTGTAACGTCTACCCGTCACCCCCATTTAAAGAGGCAATCTCGCAGTTAGGCTGGATGCTCATAACAATAGTACCAACGTTT